TAAATAAAGAAGTATAATAAACGGAGTACATATTGCAGATTATAATTGAAATAATTAAGTTACACATACTAAATTAATGTAATAAGACCAATGCAACTTGTGACGATCAGTTAATATCAAACATTCAGAATTATATTGACTAGTATATATAATACGAAGAAAACATTTTCCTCTTTTTTTCTAAATAACCCTTAATTTATAATATACAAAAGGAATATTGTAAATTTAACCTGGCCGTTGTATCCCAAAAAAAGTATGCTTATACGTAATACAAAAAAAAATTTCCTACCACGTTTTTACCACAGTTATACTATATCCTATACACAAATAAACGGAGGATAATTCATCGATCATCACATCGATTGTCCAGAAAAGAAGACAATTTGGACCGATAATCGATGCCAGAGCGCTCGATGCGCTCCCAGTTGCAAATATGGCAATCGCAATGGAAGGAGACTTCCATCTTGCGCTTTAGTGTCTACCCGGAGATAGATTAACCGTGTGTAACCGCGGCTATGCCTGCCTACCACCCTTTCCCTGCGCCCTCCTCCCTCGCGCGTGCACAGAGTCTCTCTGTACAAAAGTATAATATATACCATCGTCCGTCCTTTCCTCACCCGCGTGACGGAGAGAACCTTCCGCCGCAACTCGCCCCCACTTAGTTCCGGCTCCCAACGACTCGGCGAGCTTCTTCGGTGGTGGAGGGAGTGGGAGTAAAGCGACGGCGGCGGCGGCGGCGGCAGCGGCGACGGCGGTGGTGATGCCGATGGTGGTGCGGTGCTGACGGTGGTAGTGGTGGTTCATTACACGGCTCCGTAGCACGAACACCTTGCCGCACAATGCCCGTGCACCTGTGAGAAAGTGTGCGACGTTGCATACACGCGTCCGATATACGCCGCGTACTATATGCAACGAGCAAGAAAGCGTATTAGGTACGTAGGCACGTCGCGCGCGCGATCGGGGTTGAAGGAGGGCGGTCCGAGGAGACAGGTGCGAGCCAATCGCGAGGCGCCATGTGCAATTTCCCTTGGCTCGCCTTCTCTCTCTCTCTCTCTTTCCCTCCCTCCCTCCCTCCTTCCTCCTCCTCTCTCTCTCTCTCTCTCTCTCTCTCTCTCTCTCTCTCTCTCTCTCCTTCTCGGTCCCTTTTCACTTTTCTCCCTCTCGCTCTCTCGATATCCTCAGTATCCTCTCTTGTCCCTATCTCTTTCTCCTTCTCCTCTCCCCCTCTCTTTCTTTCTTGCTCATCGGTCCGCGTCTCTCACCCTTTTCCTCATCGTCTCTCTTTCTCCGTCCGCCGCGATCTGCTTCGTCTTCGCTCGCCACTGTTAACTTATTTAAACGAGACTCGACCCCGTCAATGCGAATACGCGAGATCCTTCCCGTATTCGACGCCGATGCGCCGCGAGTCGCCGTAGTGATTCGCCACACGCGCGACTCGAAATCAGGAGAGGAGCAACGACCCCCGCGCCGATTCCTCAGTCGTTGACACTCATCGACCGACCTCGTTCGCACCCGACAGCCCCGACCTTGCACTCCATGGAGAAGGATACGCAGTTAAGAAATTTCTTTAATCTAAACGACACATGATTCGTAGTATTCGTACCTTTCGTCGCAAATGCGAATCCAGATTTCGGAATGAGTAACGCGCTCGCTTCGATGAGAGAACGGAACCGGTTAGCAACATAAAAGCAACATGGCCATCCACTAACTATACTGTAGAAATATATACGTAATAATGAATAATCGATGAGTAAGCATGCAAACGAAATAACAAATGATGAAAGTATCAATAATAATAAAATATCAACATGCAGGTATAAGTATTATAAATTGTTGAGCATCTATTACATCGTTCTAAGTTTTAATATTTATAGCCTCATGCTGTTGTAAATGTTATTTAATTTTGTTAAATAAAATATCAACATGCAAATAATATTATAAATTGTTGAACATCTATTACATTATATTGTTCTAAATTTTAATATTTACAGTCTTGTGCTGTTCTAAATGTTGTTTAATTTTGTTAAATTTTAAAATTTTTTGTACATATAACACGTAAACGAAATATCAAAATCGCCAAACACATAATATTGTTAATAAAATAATCGTCAAATGGGCAATCACTGCAAGCTTTTATTTTCATTTTCTTTTTATTTTATTTTTAAATTTAGTTTTTCACAGTAACGAATATTGCTTCTTTCATGTAGACGTATTATAAATTTGGCATGCGCTTTCACAAATTTCTAAAAAAAAATTTCTACTGAGAAACGGCTCTTTAAAACAAAAATTATTTTATGTCTTTAATTTATGTTTAAATCCGACTATTGCAATGTCATAAACTTATAACATTTCCGTCCCTTATAAGAAAAGTACTTCTTTTATCTTTTTTCAGTCATCTTCGAGCCGACTATGTAAGGTCACAGTTTTCGCTTTATTGTTATGAATCATATGCTACGTATAGCTTCGTTCTTTAGTGATGTTTTTCAATTTTTAATTTATCTCAAGAAATATCGTTTTTTTTGTTCATTTTTAAGAAAAATGTGACACATGACAATACAAGATATTTCTGTCACCATAGGAAGGTCCGTTACGGCCATTAAATGTTTTGTAAAGGAAACGTGATGGAAGACATCAAACGAAGATGACGTTTTATATCCATCGAACATAAAATCTCGTCAAATATATTTTCAATGAGAAGCGTTTTTCAATATAATATATAGTATATATACATATTTCATATGGTTATTCTGTACGTAACTTTGCGCGCATAAGGTGGCTGTCTCAAAAAAGAAATCATATTTCTTTTATTATAGGTATTCTTCGAATAATACACGAAAAGAACGATTTTGCTGGAAAATCAAAATTGGATCTGAAAATAATTTTGTTGCAAGGAGATCAAAATAATTTTATTGGAAAGTCAAACTGATTTGCCAAAATATCAAAATATTTTATAGCAATGCTTCAATCATTTTTGAGTTTCCAACAAAATTATTTTTAGATCCAATTTTGACCTTCCAGCAAAATTATTTCCGTGTAGAATAATTAATGTACTATGCATTTATGCCTATCACCATATAACACACTTTCGAATATTATATTGTATATGTTACGATACTTCTTTTTTCTTTCAAGAGAATAGAAAAGATTTCTTTCTCCGATCCGTACTTACTAGACTGGATGTTTTCTCCTTTTGACCGGAAACCTGATGGGGTTTTTTTCTCAGACCTGAATTTCTAGGTCAAAACTTAAGAAGTAGGTGCCCTCTAATAATACGATTTATATGTAAATCTATTAAAATGTAGCCACACAATTAAATAGTTTTTATATATATATAATTTAATTAGTATTATGAACATACTTGAGATTAGACTATGTAAAACTATACTAATTAGTAATAGAATTGAATGTATTTTATAAATATCGAGGATAATCCAATAATGTTTCATTCACCCGTCTGTTCGGAAACTCAAACGACCACACCCTGGGATATGTCTTTTGTCCCGATAAAATATATGATGACTAGAACTGGGTGGGTTACGTCTCTCATACAATTCGACCGTTAACTATCTCATATACTATTCGACCGTTAGCTAGGAAAGACCAGCTTTTTCGACAAAGTAAAATCTGATATATCCAACTTTTTAGTCATAATTTTTATTTATAGTTTATACATATACTGTAATCTATTTTTTACGTCTAATTCAATATTATATTCAATCTATTTTTTTCTTTTTCATTGTTATTCTTTTAATATTTCTAATATTTTAATATTTTTAATACTTATAGAGTCGATAAATTGGAAAATTCGATAATCCAATAACAAGTAGTTGCTCCAATGTCACTCTTATAATAAGGAAAAAAAGGTGTGTTTCCAAGAGCCATATCTTTTTTTTATTTTCATTATTAGAAATATAGAAAGTCATCAAATTCACTTTTGTGGCTACGGTCCGGTTGATGCTACTGAAGAATTCTTTGATTGGCCAATTAGTAAAATTCTTTCTTCTCATCGGTCAATCAAACACCTCGAAGTATTCGTAGCGTTAAGTGGACTGCACCCTCTCTGTGACATTCAAAGATAAAAAAATTTCGGTGGACGCGGGGACTGCAATTGCGACACAGAGACTAGCTATGTAACCGTTGGCCATGTAGCTGCCCTACGCGACGAAGGTCACGCGGAATCGATTATCGCGCGATCCCGTCGCGCTTGCCGCTCTACCATTCACAGAAATCACGGAAACGCAACCGGCCGAATTTACTCCGGCGCGGCGGCGGGCTGCAATTTGTCGTCCGGAATCGCGCGCGCGAAATGGCTGGAATCTATATTGCGCCGCGCGGCGAGCAAAATCGAGCGCAAATCGGCGCGGCGCGGCGCGACGCGGCGCCGCGATTCCGGACCACCCGCTGGCGAACATCTGGGGGATAGGAGGGTTAAACGCGGCAGCGTAGGCGGTGGCGCGACGAGCCGAGCCTCGTCGACGGCAGGGTATCGCGCGCCCGGCGCACTGGATAATAATTAATAACTCGACGGTGAGTGGCTCGTGCAAGCGCCGCCCTCTTTCCCCCTGATTTATGAACCGCGCCGCCTTCCATGTCATAACCGTGGCACGGAGCGACGGTGGTGGTGGAAGTTCCACGCTGTGGTATATCCGGAGTGGTGGGACAGAGAGGAAATCGCCGTCACCATCGGCACTGGTGGGGTCTATACAGATGGTGGCGTTGCGCTCACACACTCATAAGACTGGTTCTTTGAGATCAAGTACTAGTTGATCTTCGTATTCGGATGCACGAAGTCTAATAACTGCTCTGCAGAATATTTCCAATACATTATTTACTGAATTCGATTGAGTTTTAGGTAGCATTTTCTCTTTCTGCTTTTCTTTCACATTTTTATTTTTCTTCAAACAGTTACGTTTCGATTTCTTGCAGAATACGATATTTATCGATATTTTTAATAGTAATAGTTATGGTATGTTATCAGTGTTATATTTTGTCTGTGTGGAATGTGCGAACAAGACGAAGACGAAAGACCTGGTGATACCTCTGAGCGTATGAGATGGTGTATAACGGATCCATTGAAACTGCGCATTCACAGATTAAGGGACAACTTCCACAAGTTATCACATCGACAAATATCTAGTAGGCCTATCTATCTTAATATTTACTTAATATCTACTTACTTAACATTAGAATCGTAAAATATTTATTTGCTCTTTATGCGATGAGAAATTGTGTGAAATAAATATTTCTATCTTGAATAGAAATATTTATTTTATATAAATAATCCACAACAATATGTGAATAACAATAGGAGAATGCTTCATTCAGTATGAACTAGGCCTTAGTACTTAATATTTCAATGCGAAAAGGCATTTTCCTACTTATTGTTAGTTGTGTTATAAATAATTCAATAATGAATGGTTTATTTTCGTTGTCTGGAAATCTTATATGTATATGTTTTGGGATTACAAAATCAATAGTTTTTAATTGGATATAATTTCATCATTGTAGTATCATAACTGATAAAATTAGAGAAATTTAAGAAAATATCGTATAAGAAAATTAAAATATTGATTAAAAAACTTCTTTTTAAACATTTTCTTCGAACATTAAGAGCAATAGTGATATTTCTAATTCTAATGTTATTTATAAGAGATAATTGAAGCTATATTCTCAATATGTATCATGGATAGCTTGTGTGCGTGTGTGTGTGTGTGTGTGTGTGTGTGTGTGTGTGTGTGTGTGTGTGTGTGTGTGTGTGTGAATATCTATAATATAGTCTGTCATCTCATTAAAATGTATTAAAAATTTGAAAAATTAATCATAGAAAAAATTATTAAATTATTATTGGCTAATCTTTTAGCTAAAAATCTTAAATAAATCTTATTTTCTGTTAAGAAAAATTTAAAAAAAAGTTCTTTATGCAAATTTAAAACCTTAAATAATGTATTAACTGTTTTATTGAATTATCTTTTACTATTTTTAGGCAGCTTCACTATTTTCGCTCTCTTTCTGTCTTCCTTTCCCAAGTTTTCATTTTCTTGAACGAGTTAAAAAATAGAAAGTTTTTCGAAACTTTCTAAAATTTTTCATTAGTGTCGGTCCGCAATAAGGACTTTAAGCCTTATGCCGTAAAATATTGACCAATTACAATCGATTATTCCTTCTCATATTTGACTACGATTGGTCTATTTTTTACTGCTTAGGGCTTAAAATCTTCATTGTGGACCGGCACTTATGAAAGAATTAAGAAAGAAAATTTTTTAAGAGAATTATATATTACAAAAGGTTTAAAAGGTAAAAGTGATAGAGCAGGTCAAGGTAAAACATTTCCGTCAAATTATATAAATTTTCTACGAATGGTTAAAGAAGTAAAGTCTGTATAATCACTATTGTCCGTTCATTGTTCTAATCACTATGTTCCGATTGGTCTCAAATAATGAACTGGATGCTTAATTAAAGCGTGCGACTCTTTTATCTCTCTAAAAGCGGTCATATAATTGTAATTATGCAATCTATAATTATAATTTTATAATATCACAATTTTAAAAAAATTTCAACAACGATTTGACATTACTAAAAAGATGTGATCTTATCATATCTTCACAACTGTTGAGATAGAAGATTTTTTACCTGTGATTTTACCTGACAGCGCGATCGGTAGGTTTTTTTTAGATATTTGACATTTCTTGCTGACTTACAAAGATCCCAAACATTTCGAGACATACGTATATGTATATCTTCTATAGTTAAAAAATTAATATTAATTTAAGTATGTAAGTTAATGTTTCAGTTTTAATAGAGAGTTATATTATAAGATTGAATAATAAGTAATCGGTATTTTATTTTTTTCGGACAGTGTATTTTTTTCGATAGATATACATGATGGATTTGGCATTACTAAAAAGATACGATCTTATCGTATCTTCACGACTACTGCTGAGGTAGAAGATTTTTTACCTGTGATTTTACCTGACAGCGCGATCGGTAGGTCTTTGTTAAAATGCGAGCTGTATTGTTAAAATGAGGAGAAAATCAACATTAACATAAAAATCAGGTTATAAGTTATATCTAAATCCAACCACTGACTCAATTCTCGATGCTTTTCGACTGCTTCAGTTGATTTAATTACGAATATTTATAAGCATTTTATTTAGTTCACAATTCACGATCCACGGTATCTTTCTAACACCATTATACGTCGTGAGGTTTTTCAAGTAAAGATCAATCTTTGGAATATCTTAATGATAGTTCGTTTTACCTAGATCTTTTCTTGGATTCTCATGCATTTTACTCGACATTGTTGTCGATTTTTCATCCATTTTTCATCGTCACCATCACCATTCATTTCAGAAACGTTTTTGTCACGTTTAAGCAGCAGATCAAGATTGATTAGCGAACTATATTTTTCGGTCATTTCGTACGACGTTCGGTCATTCAAATGTCATAGTTGAATTTGCACAAATGATTTTTTAATGGATTTTCGATATAATGAATATATCTTCGCTCTCATTGCTGTTTGGCATAGGCTTCATTAATATTTTGATTCGATCAATTCTAATCGGTCTTCCAGAATGGTGAAAAATTTTTGACAGAAAAATTTTCTGCACAAAACTATAATAAATGAGTGACAATCGATATACATATATGTCTATACATAAAATTAATATATACAGAATAATTTTCAATTGTCATTAGTCTGATATCAATTTGTGAGTTCTATAACATTATATATACATATATGGTCTGTCCCAAAAGTAATGAGACTAATTCTGGAAAAATCGTTTTATTGAATATATACACTTAATATTTTTCAAAGTAGGATTCTTGAGCATCAATACAGCGGTTCCAGCGTTACTGCCACTCTTCGTAGCAGCGTAGGAACTGCTGCATTGACGCTCAAGGATCTTACTTTAAAAAATATTAAATGCATTTTCAATAAAACAGTTTTTCTAGAATTAGTTTTATTACTTTTGAGACAAACCAGGTATATCCATCGAAAAAAATACACCGATTACTTATTATTCAATCTTACAATATAATTCTCTATTAAAACTGAAACATTAACTTACATACTTAAATTAATATTAATTTTTTAACTATAGAAAATATACATATACGTATGTCTCGAATTGTTTGGGATCTTTGTATGTTATCAGCAAAAAATGTCAAATATCTAAAAAAGATTACAGCAACTTATACGTATAATTTTTAAGTATAGCTTTAAAGACATGCTGGCGCGACGGCCAAATTCCGTCCGCTTTTTATCAACGATTTGTACATATGTATGCGTACGATATTGATGAGTAGTGTGTAATGATGTGTATATATTTACTACCACATCAATATCTCACATACGCACAATTTGTAGATTTGTAGAATATCAAAATATTTTTGTTTATACCTCTAAAAAATTTACATATATTCATTTCTCTGTTGTACATTTGGCTCTGCCTTTATTTCGAGCATATAATCTGAATAACTTTTCCACGAAATAAACGTTTTGGTAAATCGACAGCACTAATTGTCAATTGAGGTAAAAATGGATAACAAACTCTGTAATTTCTCAATGTTTGACAAAATATACATACAAAATACTACAAAATATATCAGAGCCTGATATTAGCATGTGTATTTTAATCGTAGAAAAGGAATTTGTATTCTATGCGATTAATACGAAGTAGATAGTAAGGAATAAAAATGGTATATTGCTATCGGTAAATAGATGACTCCAGCATCCCTTTAAAACTAAAAGTGCCTTGGTGCCAAACGGGCTATATTTCTACTTTCTTTGACTCCGAAAAATTTGATACCTAATGTCAATCTCATCAACTGTTAAACAAGCTGTGAGGCATTTGAATTTTTCTTGTTCTACACTGTTCTAAATATACACCTACTTAAAAAAAAATTAGAAAAAATAAATTTCGGCATTCAATCATTACGATTCAATGTACTTCTATATGTTCTAATATACTTTCAAGTATTGGAATCCTTATTATTTGTTCATTATCTAACTGTCTTTAACAAAGTGTTAAGGTATTGCAAGTAAAATTTTTTAAACTGATGACTTATTTGCATGCATATCGAATAGAGAATTCTTTGTGACACAAATCGAAGACTATCGAAAACTCAATGTAATTAACTAAGTAACTAATAATGAGCTTTATATCCAAAGGAAGCCATAATTTTTCTTATAATCTTAGATATCAACAATATCTCTTGTAAGGAATAATCTCTCTTATTGTTGATAATATATCATCTTACATATTGACCTTGTAGGATATTTTATCTAATGCACCTTTTCTTGGAGGAAAAAAGTGTGAATCATGTGCATATACATACTTTATTAATTTTTATATTATTACACTAGTTTCTAAGAAAATCTAAAAATCTATTGTATATATTAAGGTATTCTTTTAGTGTTTAATAAATAATCTTTCTTCTTTCTCTAACGAATATATGATTATTTTCTATATAAAGAATATATTTCAATATAAAGAACCGGAAACTCGTTTATATCGCCATCATTAAGAATTCCGCTTTTGTCGTACATCCTGAGTGTAATATGTATATGGGATGTCAACTTATCTTTCATGTTAACCTTGGCGCTCATGTTAATCGAGTGAAACTTTAAAAGCACAGGTGCTGATGTATCTGCCCTCATTTTAATGTTTGCCGTATAGCTATCGGCTTACGCATATTCGCATGTAATGTGAAAAATTTTTCAACCTTGCTTTGAGATTTCACGTGGAATCTTTTATAAACATGCATTGTTTATAAAATCAAACATATATAATCACGAAATAATATCTATGAATTAATATCAATTACGAGATAGATAAATGGCTTATTATTTATCAATTTTCATCATTTTATTTTGCAGGAGAAGAAAATGACTTTACATCAGACGGTGAGGAGAGCGGTGGTGGAGGAGGAGCTGGCGAGGAAGCCGTGGATCTCACAGCGACGAGATCTCATCAGGGCGACGATGATCCTATGGAAGAGGATGAGGAAGAAGGTATCGATGAGCAAGATGAGCAGGATGAGGACGAAGAGGGCTCGCGCAAACAGATTCATCATCGACAAGACGCGGAGAACAATAATAACTTTGTGGAAAGCGGCCTGCCTACCGCTATATTCCCGCCAGCTGGAACTAGTCATGTCACCCTCGAAGCCCTGCAGAATACAAAAGTGGCGGTCGCCCAATTCGCTGCCACTGCTCTCACTGGGACAGACAGCGAAGCGGCGCTACAAGATCTGGCATTTCTGGAAAACACGCTGTGCACCCTTCAGAATCAACAGGTATTACAATTACAGCTGATTCGACAACTTCAGCAACAATTATTGATCACTCATGGGCAATCGGTAATGCAATCGTCAACGGAGCCAACTGATAACAAAGAGGCTTCGTCATCACCTATTATTCATCCGAAACCATTGTCGAGTCTCGCGTCACCTCCTTCTTCTCGTCCGCCGAGTCATCATCAGCAAACATCACCGGCGCCGCTGACGCCGAATCTGCTTCAGGAACGACCCACTTCGACGAGCAGCGCCTCTCCTTTGAATCTACCCCTATCTTCATCCGGCACGACGTCAACAGTCATCACGACCACCAGCAGCCAGGTGCCGATGCCGCATCAAATGCCGCCGCTTTGCTCGATAAGCGCTTCCCTTGCTTCATCGATCATAACGAACACCGATCCGCCTCCGCTTCACGAGCCCAATACTCTGGACATTCTTCAAAAGCGTACCCAGGAGGTATTGGATAACGCAAGTCAAGGACTAGCCAACAATTTGGCCGACGAGCTCGCGTTTAGAGGCAAAGGCTCGCGACTATCTCCTTACGATTCGAAATCAAGCGGTGGTCGCGGTGAGCCCTTCTTCAAGCATCGATGTCGCTTCTGTGGCAAAGTCTTCGGTAGCGACTCGGCGCTGCAAATCCACATACGATCCCACACAGGTGAGCGACCCTTTAAGTGCAACGTATGTGGCAGTCGGTTCACGACCAAGGGCAACCTGAAGGTCCACTTCCAAAGGCATACGGCCAAATTTCCACATGTTAAGATGAATCCGAATCCTGTTCCAGAACATTTAGATAAATACCACCCACCCCTCTTGCAGCAAATCGCTTCCGGGCAGAGACCGATGCCGTCCCCGCCGCCGCCGCCACCACCATCCTCTCATCACCCCCCGTTTCATCCGGCAACAACACACGGTTTCCTCCCACCACAACCGCCAATACCTCTGAGTCTCACCTTATCCAATATGACGCCCCTTTACCGATCTCCAGTTATTAATCACCGGGACGATCAAGATGTGCCGGAGAATCTTAGTAAACCCATAACCACCGTTCCACAGACATCTCCCACTTCTCCCGCTGCCATATTGAATTCTCGTCATTCCTTTCACGACAATCTCCATCAACAACATCAAAAGCAGCAACTTGAGCAGAGAGAGGAGATAAAACTCGAACAGAGATCACCCGGACAGGAGCAGTATCAACAGCGACCGATGAGTCGGGAAGGCGCCGAGCGAATAACACCGAAGAGAGAACCCGAGGAGACGGAAGAAGCCGCAGAGGAGGAGAGCGAAGATTTTGAGGAAACCACGAGACGATACCTTAATTCGCCCCAATCCGCAAATCCACCGTCCCAGCCGCAAACGTACGAGGATTGTAGCATGGACAGCAAGATCAGCGGGCGTTTAGAGGGTGACGGAGAGATGGAAGTAGACGAGGAAACAGAGGAGCAACCCGAAAATCTCTCGAGTAGAGGTACGATCAATCGTTTGCCCCAACAGATCGTGGCGTATCCAGGAGCATCGCCGGCTAGTAGTAGCGCGAGTAGCGGTAGTCTGCAGACATCTTTCGCCGGAATACTGTTTCCAGGTCCCCCGGTTCATCACCAAATTTCTCACCTTCCTGTTTCTTCGGCAGGACCAATCACGACATCCGCAAATGAAATGATTGATCCAGCCAAGGACCCAGCGATTTATTCGACTTTGTTACCGCGACCGGGCAGCAATGACAATTCCTGGGAGAGCTTGATCGAAATAACGAAAACTTCGGAGACGTCCAAGCTACAGCAACTAGTCGACAATATCGAGCACAAATTGAGCGATCCTAATCAATGCATCGTTTGCCACAGAGTGCTCTCATGCAAGAGCGCGTTGCTGATGCATTATCGCACTCACACTGGCGAACGTCCTTTCAAGTGTAAAATTTGCGGTCGCGCCTTCACGACGAAAGGCAATCTGAAAACCCACATGGGGGTGCACAGAGCGAAACCACCACTGAGAGTGTTGCACCAGTGTCCCGTGTGTCACAAGAAATTCACAAACGCTCTCGTATTGCAACAGCATATACGTCTTCATACCGGGGAACCCACCGATCTCAGTCCGGAGCAGATCCAAGCTGCAGAAGTGAACGAGTTTCCACCTGGTTATCATCCGCTGGCGTCTTTTCTCCCGCAAGGATTTCCGCCGATACATCCGACCAGTGCGGGCTTCTCCTTAGGATTCCCTCCATCTAGGCAAACGACCATCGAGCAACAATTGCTGCAAGAGAGCGACGTCGAAACGAAAGAGGAGTCTCAGCAACGACAGAGATTTATGGAGGAGCATGGCGAGGAGATGGAAGATCAGGAGGATGAAGAGCAAGATCACAGAGAGGACGACGAGAGGACGTGTGAACTGAATCGCGACAGGCGTAGCGTCGAAATCGAAGAGGAGCAGGATCACGAAAGTGAAGATACGACCGAGCACAAGGATATGACGCTTCCTATATTTTCAACTTCGTTGGCGGCGCTCGAGAACCAAGTAAGGACCATCACGACGACGGCCACGACTACAAACGTGGTCAGGTCGCCGTCCTTTCATCGGTACAACGGCAGCGAGAAGAGTACTAGCCCGCCGACTTCCGGAGCCCCACTCGACCTGACGCCCCGTGCTTCGTCCACGCCAGCGTCGGTGGCTTCAGCATCACCGACACCGCCACCCCAGATCGTGCCGCTCCATCCACCAAATCCCTTCGGCATGTTCGCGGGATTGCTGCAAGTCTCATCCGCTCCTACCACCAGCACGATAGGCACGTCGAACATGAATAGCATCACCTCGATGAGTGCCATCAACCCGGGAAGCGGGCCCGGTAGCGGACCACTAGCCTCGCTGACCACATCGGCCGTACTAGCCGCATCATCGACCTACAATCCGCTCGGCCTAGCTGTCGGAGGCCCAGCAGGTAGGAACTGCTAGCATCAGGGCGGGCTGCGGTTCCTGCTACACCTTATCCCTCGTCCGAACTATGATCATGATTCTTTGCCGCGAATCGCTAAGTCCAGTATCGCCGAGTATACCTATTTCCGTGACATATCCGTCTTATCCAATCTCATATCAATATCCCGTTTGTGGTGTAGCTGGACCTAGCACTCCCATTCTCCTTTTATACATATAACTTTCTTCTTTTTTTATCTGTTACCTTTGTTTCAATAATCATCTTTATTTCTTTCTCTTTGTCTCTTTTTTTGTATCTACATTATTATATATTATTCTTCTTCTTACCGTTTTATTTTTCTACATTCCTTAATGTTATGTGATAATTTATGTTTCTCATTGTATTTACGCTATCTCTTGCGATGCCGTGTCACGTTTATACAAGTATAAAATATTTTTGTCATTTCGTAGAAATTTTTAGAGCGGTACAATTTTGTTTTACTTATTTTGGTTTTTTCATTTATTTTTATTTTATTTTTTTTTTTATTTAGAAAACTAAAAGTGAAGACTCGGCCTCAATATTAGAAAACGAGTGGAAGTTAATCATTCTACATTAATACAATAACGATTGATGTCCGCTCACATTGGAAAAAATTCATAAGCAAGGCAAGTAGGTTCTATCAAGGCAAGTAGGTTTTGTCTGGAAAAAGTGGCAAAAGATAGCGGGCAATATGATAGGGAAGATTCTTCAAATTAATCTTATTAATATCTGCTCCTATCAATATCGATTTGAGAAATATAGCGGCATTATTATAACTTACAAATTAATAATAATACCATAAATATGGATTGTTTTTCGCGTTAAAGTAACCGCTTATAGTAAAAAATGACTACTTGTAACTATATTATATAGTATTGCTTTTTATTTTATTATTAAAATTTTGTTATTTTGCGTCTTATAATTTAGATAGTATTTAACACTTTTAATACTATGCACGTTAGGAAATAAATGTTATACAAAATGTACATATATGATATTTATAATATACGATACATATAAATTGTATACTGCTAAACTGACGATTGAAGAAGGTTTGAATTTCTACTTTTGTGGAAACTAATTCTCGGTGTTGATGGATTGTCGAACATTATATCTAAGAAAAACACTAAAGAAAAAACCATTATAATTGTGTTTATAAAATATTCTTAGTAAAACTAAAAAGTACAAAGTAAAATGTACAAAGCAATTATTGTACTACACGGATATCCACGCTTATCTGTTTATATTGGACCTAATTGGTATGCGTCTTATATTAATTTACTCTCATATTGATATATTAAGATCAATATAATGATTGAAATATTTATACAAAAAAGATAATTATTGTTTTATTTTATTTTGAAAAAAATATAAAAATTTACCTTCCCAATAATTATCCTATAATTATCCTTTCCGATAATTATGACTTTAATTATATATTATCAAGATCAAAGTATTGAATCCAAGTAACGCAAGTTTTAGCTGTCGCTTATTATTGATTTAAAAGCTACTAAATAAAAAGAAACTAAAAGAATGAAAATGATAGAAATTGTAATTGTAATACAGCAATCCGCATTGTAACATACAGTTTTCGTTACCAATTAAAAAATCGCTCATTATTTATTAAATGCAAAATGAATACGTGAGTGAGTTAGCTTTAGATGAAAATTTATTTAAATTTATTGCAAAATATAAAAGAGAGAAGCTTCGTTGTTTTAAAAATAGAACGTTATATAGAATATTCAAAAATGTGAAAAATTTAAAAATAAATGTGTGAGTAGGGCACAAGCGAAATCAGCACACCGCTATACTGAAAGTCTGACCTAACTTCAGGTTAAGGAAATTGGGTTTTTCAGAATGGAATTTGGGGAAAAGGGCAAAGCCCGTTCCGCCTTTTTATTCTTTTCACTCGCCAATTTTTGGTCTCTAACTAAACCTTACCTACTTGAAATCTATTCATATTCGATGAGATATTGCATCTTACTTCATATTCATTTTACATCAATATTTATTGACCAACTTTATTTATTAATAACATTTTTATAAATAATGAGTGACGATTTCGATCAGCACCTTGGTACTCAGGACAATGGCCTTGACAATATATGTTATTGGGAAGGAATATTGGGAAAATAAACTTTTATTATAAATTTTTTTTGTACAATTTATTTCTTGCACCACAATTCACTCTCATCTTTTCTATTATTCTGTTTCATTTTATTTAAATCTTTTCGCAGTTATTAGTAAATACCTGGAATTATAAAAGAAGCTAGTCATTATTAGTTTCTTAGAATAATGGCTTAATTTTAGTTGTTAACATATGTAAATACGTGACGTTTTGAAATACATCAAGGAAAAGCGCGACGAAACTGGATATTGCTTAGTTGTTATACGTTTTTCACAAACTAATTGTTTTATTTATTTAAAGAAAATATGGCGTTTGAACATCAGGAACTTTTAACAATTAACGCGTTAAAAATATTGTTTCTCTTAAAAAGCTATAAAGTCAATTGAGCCTTGTTTTATATAACCCATCATAAATCAAAAATTTTTTCTATTTCATATAAAACTTTTTTAATAAAAAAAACTTCGTATAAAACTTATGCTGAAATTTATTCACGCTATTCCTTGACAGACTATACATTATATTTTTGAAATCGTGGGAAAAATACACAATGCAAGACGTTGTTAGAGCAAAATGAAAATGATGTATTAAGAATATTTTTGAAGCGTAATTCGTCGAAATATATACGTACACGAAGGATTAAATTGAAAATAAAGAAATACAATTTGTTACAGTACGTGGCAACACCACATGTAAGTTCTGCTACAAGACGTTCGCGTGCCAATCTGCATTGGAGATTCATTACCGGAGTCATACGAAGGAGCGACCTTTCAAATGCACCATATGCGATCGAGGTTTTTCTACGAAGGTAATTAAATCTGCTTTTTACCTCGAAAGCGTATTCTGCGAATTGCTAATCTCTCTTTCTCTCTTTCTTTCTCTCTTACTCTTTTGTTTGTCGTCTTGCCTCACTGTGATTCGTATCTCGATTATACGAGATACCTTGTCAATTGTGACTTTAATCATCGATACCATATCTTGATATCTGCATCCTGTTGCAAAAGTATTGTTTTATTTGATTTCCACGCAAAACAGAGACAGATTTATGTTGGAACTGATATTACTTAAACTATGTCAGAAAACACCATAAAATAATATTGCTTAAAAATATCTGCACATCTTCATTATTGTATGATACCCCGCTAAAAATTCAAAAATATTTTGTTTCATATTATCATCCTACTCTACTTCCAAAGAATATGTCCTAAATGGAATGTTTATAACGTCAAATAAAAATACAAGAGAAAAATATACTATAAAGAGAAAACTATTTTTTTCCTTTGATAAAATGATTAATATAAAATATTTCTTATGTCGTAATTAGTTGATATGAATATAAAGCACACTGTACATATATTTATTTAAATCTTAAGCATTACAGTGCCTATCACCGCATAAAATTTCCTGAAAGTAATAAATTAAAATAAATTTCCTGAAAATAATACATTTAAATAATACAGTTGCAAAATTTGTTATGAAATATCTACGTCGAATGATATAAGACAGTATTAAAAAAATAATCTATCACACATATAGCAATATTATCATTAGCGTTACCGACATTATGAAAATATGCGCGAAAAGATAGGATATTTAAGGATTAGTCGGCAGTTAGAAATCAATAATTAAATATTAGAAATGTTTTATTCGTCATGCAAAATTTCTTCTCACATATCTATTCGCACCACTTCTATATTCGTCTCGTTGTTCTGCTGTACTTTCAGAACGATGATTCCGGTCAGCAAGTATGTTCCTGCGCGGACCAACCCTTCGCCGCGAAGGGTCCGATTCTCCCACAACCCAATTCCCAATATCGCTCGTACCCGGCGAAATCGGCCGCCGGAAATAGTGAGAAACCGAAACGCAGGCGGCGGCGGCCTGAGGAACGGAAGAACCGGGGGCGGACAGGAACAGGAGGGGGGCGAAGGCTGACGTCTGTTTATCCTGCCGTCCGCCTGCCCCCGCTGATGCCACCCGCCCTCGGACTTCTACCCTCGGACCACGTCTTCCTGGTAAGAGTCTCTCCTCTACCAGCAAGCGTACACGCGTTCGTCCTGCGATCTCGTGTAGTCGATATTATGCAACCGAATCGCAAGTTATCTTTTTTGCGTAATAATATTGTGCTCTTCCTTCTCGCGATTGAAATAAACTACCCAAACTCAAGACGTAATTATCGCAAGATTAAGCAAAATGTACACATCCGCGCAATACGCAACGCGATAATTTTATCTGAATAATGCAGATGTCTTTAAAACGTAAATATTGAATATAACGTGAATTAACTTCGATAAAAAAAGATACCTTACATAATGTGTTACATAAAGTAAATTTAATACAAATATATAATCACGCAAAATAAATTTCCCTCATCTAAAATAAAAGTATGAAATTCCCAATGTATCTTTATTACCATGGAGTACTCAACAGCAATATTCGCAGATCGCTAATATACTGTACACAGATGCCATACATGAATAATAATGTTACGACTGTTCTTCTCACAGTCAACTGCTTAATTAAATACAATAGAATGTGTTTTAATGCGCAGGGTAATATGAAGCAGCATATGTTGACTCACAAGATTCGCGATATGCCGCCACATCTATTCAGCGATCCAAAGCATCAACAGCAGCAGCAGCAACAGCAACAGCAGCAGCAGCAACAGCAGCAGCAGCAACAACAACAGCAACAACAGCAGCAACAGCAGCAGCAGCAACAACAGCAGCAGCAACAGCAGCAGCAGGAACAAGAAACTTCCAGAAGTCCAATGTGCGTCGATGATTCAAGCCTACCACCCCCACCTCCACCACCTCCACCACCCCCGCCGATGCCACCGACGTCCCTCGAGTCCACGATACCAGTGAAAAGATCACCGGAAGGAGATCTGCCGGCACCGAAAAGACCAGCCAGTAAGTATGATTTCGTTCGCGTTCGTTCGTTTTCATAAGGAATAGAAAGAAAAAGAAAACTCAATCTGCTTCTTCATCGAGCGCCACCCATTATTATCCGAGTTCAGCTTCGCTCGGCAGATCTCATTGCTAAACGCGTTGTTAATCACGTTTGACGGCCTCTCTCGCTAACGAAAACCGTAGTTTGGAATACCCGACGCTGCTGCTTCGCAACACGCTTGTTAGATTCTTCCTCCTGCTTCCTGTCCATCGTTATTTCTACACGCTGGATTGCTGGTGGCGGGTTATGCTCACTCTGTTCATTTTTTCATATATATATATATATATAGGGCAAGTTGGATTTTTTGTGGCTATGGTGGCATCTTACTTCTTCTATTTCCAATACTATGAATAAATAAATATTATTTCACTATTAGGTTTTAAAGACATCGTTGAGTCTATTTTTATGTCGAACTTCTATTAATGTTCACGATCCATAGCCTCAGACTGACTTTTACGAAATAACGATTATTTAATCATTTACCATCGCATATCACTATCACGAAGTCAGGGGCAGTTTAGCGAAACCATTATATGTATTTGCAGGCCTGCCGAGCAAGCATTTGTGCCAGATTTGCAATAAGAATTTCTCCTCGTCTTCGGCGCTCCAGATACATATGAGAACTCACACCGGCGACAAACCGTTCCGATGCACCGTCTGCCAGAAGGCGTTCACCACCAAGGGCAACCTCAAGGTATAAGCACATTAATTTTCTAGATGTCGTCGAAAGTCTCTAAGTCCTTTCTACAAGTTTCCCGAAAGTCTCTATTAACACCAGCTAGCCGCTACCGCTTCTACTAACGCCACAACGCGTAAACGTCGCAAAATCACTCGAGCTCGATGAAAGATCAGCGCCTACCCGATCGAGACCTAACGCGCGAATATCGTCTCTGATCGCCTCTCTTGATTTTTTCACCACAGGTACACATGGGTACTCACATGTTCACCAACGGAACGTCGCGTCGAGGCCGACGGATGTCGTTGGATATACCTCCCCTGCCAATCACGCCCAAGGACTCGGAGTTTCTGCAACGACGACCGGACCTCTTTTACCCGTATCTTCCCGCGCCATTCCTTAACGGCGTCCAGCAGAAGGTAATACTTATGTCGCTCGAAGCGAAAGACTATTCTACCAGAATAATTCAAAGACAACTAGCGCAATAAGTTTTATGGATGTCTTGCTATAGAAACGTTGAATTCTCGTATTACAATAAAATCCAGAAAAATTCGTGGAAATTTTTATTTTATCGCGCGCATCTTCGACTTTTACATAACGAATACTGAACTTAATTAAAGCATTTAACGGTACGCGATTAAATGCCAAAGACATCACGGGGAGCCACAGTCATCGTTTATTTTTATTTTTGTAGGTAATTGCCCCCGAATAAACCTAACCAGACGGCGTGCATTACTTACAGCTGAACGAGATTTCGGTGATTCAAAGTAGCAACGGATTACCGCCTCATTCCTTGAGCGCGGGCAAATACGCGGCGAGTCTGTTCGGCTCGGTGTACGGCGCCGGCGGGGGTGGCTTCTCCCTGGACAAACAACCGTTGGGTCCGACCAGTAACGGGCCCCTAGTGGATGGCAAGTCCGCGATACCCTCGGGATCCATGCTCTTCCAAACACCGTCGCCCTCGCATTCGCCCGGCGCATCGTCCAACGGCGGCAATCAGACGTCCGCCAGTGTGTCTTGGACCGGCGATACACTTCAGCACCATTTCGACCGGGAGACACCGAGCAGAGCCGAGAATGACGCCACACCGCCCACAGCGCGGTTACCACCGCCACCAGCGAGGGGAGAGGGATTAGCCGCGTGAAACTTGACGAATACATATCTTTCCACCTAACTACACGAAAGGCGCGATCGTTCGTTCACGGCGGCCGAATCTCCGCTACGTAAGAGGCTGATAATATAATCGATACAATTCTCTCAGACTGAATTAGTTTAGAAGAAAAGAAAGGAGAATCGCGACGAGTGAATGTTGATAGCGGGACGGGGCAGTCTCGATCCTCCGTCCTAATCGATGAAGATTTATCACTGACTCATTCGGTCCCGTTACGATCCGCGCGATCATCAGAAGTGGAAGCTGCAGTTTTCAGTCGCGCAATGATGCGTCGCGTAAAGATGATTCCGCAAATCTCAATCGGAGCAGTCACAATATATGTCACAGCTACCTTTCCCGTGTTGTATCCGTGCATTTCAAAGGAAGACAATCTTCGGAACTGAAAACGATCGCCTGATCTCTCTCACGTCGGGAGAGCACGATCGGAACGATCACCGGGGACAATCGCGCGACCGAGCGTAGCTCGCGTTGGTGATCGAATTGCTTTTGGCATTTCTCCACGTACGAGTGACGACATATCTCTACGCCGCTCTCTCTCTCTCTCTCTCTCTCTCTC